GAGTGACGATCTAGTAAGACATAGGAAGTCGATGGATGCAAGTGGCTCATGACAGTGATTTGTGGCGTACTTTGGGGAATAGAATAGAATAATTTGTTATTCTCATGAAAGTCACATGTAATTCTTATTAAAAGTCATTTTTTTACATATATCATCAGCAAATAATACTATATCATGATTATCCCCTACAAGCTGCTATAAGGGGAGGCCTATCTTCAGCAATGGACTTGTGAATGGCTGTAATGATGATGATGATGATGATAAAAACGCACTAAATTTTGCGCTTTCTTTGAATTTTGCCCCGTGAAATATTAAACAAAAAGACTAATAAAAATCAGAAATACCTACGTTTAATTCTATACATTGCAGTGATTAAATAATATCATAATATAAGTATTTTTTTTGTAATTTAAGTGAATTTTGCAATTCTATATTTTGTTGTCCAGTGGCATGGTTGCTAGCACCCGGGGCCACTGAGGCTAAAAATGCTGCCCCCCCTAACCTGTTACCCCATTGTCATATATATCTAAAAATATAAATTCGGTTAAAAAAGTCTTGGTAAGTCAATGATTTCAAAAGGAAAGATAGGCCCATCTAAATATTTTATTCTTAACTTTTTCGTACAAGAAAAAGTAGCGTAACCAGGGACGAATTTCATAGTATAATTATACCATTATTTCATAGTTTGTAGTAAGCACATAGTATCGTTATATTATTCTAAGCGAAAATACCATAATTTTACCTAAAAGTCGACTTGTATTATTATTGGGTCCTTTTACATTTTAATATTAACCCTACGATATCGAGGATTATTGTATTGTACATGAGTACCACGTTTTTTGATTAAAATTAGAATTAGCTCCATTTCTGGTCAATCGATTGAAAAAGAAATATGAAACGTCAAACGTGATATATTTTTTTTAAATAGGATAATTTTGATATTCCATGTACAATATTTTTAAGGGTCTGAATCCAACCCTGGTCTAATCTTCGTAACGTAACTAAACTAACTGTAAAATAAAACTTTAAAAATGCGTTTATATAATAATTTTATTGTAACAAAATTAATATAAGGTTACGATATCCCATGTTTCTTTTCACGGTCCATGTGGAGCACGAAATTCAATATCGCCATGTATGAAAGAAGGAAAATGTACAAAGAAATTCCCTAAACAGCTATTAAAAGAAACAGTTCACAATGACAATGGCTACCCTTTATATAGACGCAGAGCTCCCGAATATGGTGGCAGGAAAGTTACAATCAAATCTCGCTCTGGAGCGTTCGAAACCTTAGATAACAGCTGGATTATCCCGTATTCGCCCATTTTATGTAAAATGTTTAATGCCCACATTAATGTAGAAGCATGTAGCTCTGTCCGCGCAATCAAGTATATCTGTAAGTACATAAATAAAGGAAGCGACCAAGCAATATTTAATCTCAGGAGTGAAGGTGAGGCAAATCCTGTTAATGAAATACAGACCTTTCAAGCAGGGAGTTATGTCAGCAGTAACGAGGCAGCGTGGCGTCTCCTTGGCTTCCCTTTACACGAAAGGCACCCAACAGTTACTCACCTTGATATGCACTTAGAAAATGGAGAGAGTCTATATTTTACCGAAAGAAATTTCCAAGAAAGAATTGCATCACCGCTAAAAAGTACACTAACAGCCTTCTTTCAACTTTGTCAAACCGACCCCTTTGCAAAAATGTTGTTATATTCTGAAGTCCCCCGCTATTATACTTGGAACACATCTAAGAAGGAGTGGAAACGCCGTTTACAAGGCGTGCCTGTTGCAAATTGGCCCGGTGTAAAGTCAACAGATGCCCTTGGTCGTGTGTATACCGTCCATGTAACTAATTTTGAATGTTTCTGTTTACGATTGCTGCTGCACCATGTTCGGGGTCCTACAGGATATAAAGACCTTAAAACTGTCAACGGTCAGGAATGCGCAACTTATAGAGAAGCATGTGAAGCTCTGCATATTTTAGAAAACGATAATCACTGGGATGAAACCATGGAGGAAGCCGTGCAGTGCCAGTCACCAGCCAAAATTAGGGATCTTTATGCAACTCTCATATGATCTTGTGGGCTATCTAATGCACATGAATTGTGGGACAAATATAAAGAGTACATGGCGGAAGATATTTTGCGAAGGTTACAGCAGACACACGCGAACATGACATACAATGAACACATTTATAATGAAGTACTTGGAAAAATTGAAGATAAAGTAATGGCAATGGTAGGCAAAAAATTAAGCGACTTTGGAATGATAAGCCCTCAGCGAACAACCGAAAATGAACTAAGTGATGAAATTATACGTAAAACAAACTACGATATACCAACTTTGCAGCAGCAAGTAGCCGAATTTGTACCCCACTTACTTCCCGAACAAAAACGAGTTTTTAACAAAGTATTAGGACAAATTGAATCTGGAAATGGTGCACTTTTCTTTTAAGATGCCCCTGGAGGAACTGGGAAGACATTTTTGTTAAATTTATTATTAGCGCAAGTACGGAAAGATAAAAACATTGCTGTGGCCGTAGCTTCCTCCGGTATAGCCACCACGCTGCTAAGCGGGGGCCGCACTGCACATTCTGTTTAAAACTCCCTCTAAATCTAGTCCAGGAAGAATCGCCAATCTGCAACTTTAGCAAAAATAGTGCACGAGGTATAATGCTACGACAATACAAACTTTTAGTGTAGGACGAAAGTCCAATGTCGCATAAAAAAGCTGTAGAAGCACTAAATCGAACGCTCCAGGATTTGCGTAGTAATACCGATATAATTGGAGGAATGGTGGTTTTACTGGCTGGTGACTTTCGCCAAACTTTACCTGTTATTCAAAAGGGCACACCTGCAGATGAAATTAAAGCATGCCTCAAGTCGTCTATTTTATGGAACAAGGTGACAAAATTCAGTTTAACTACGAATATGAGAGTGCATTTGTATAATGATATCAATGCTGGAAACTATGCTGACACAATATCAAAAATTGGCGATGGGCGGTTGGAAACGGATGCTGAGGGCTGCGTTAAATATACAAGAGATTTTTGTAATTTAGTACAGAATCATTATGAATTAATTGCGAGCATTTATTCAGATTTAACGAGCAACACGCATGAAGACAAATGGTTATGTGAAAGGGCGATTCTTGCACCAAAAAATGAGAGCGTTAATAAAATAAATTCAGATATATTAAGCGAAGTAGCAGGAGAAATAACAGAGTATTTGTCAGTGGACACAGTTATGGACACAGAACAGAGCACTTCATATCCCGCAGAGTTTCTAAATTCTCTAGAGTTGTCAGGTGTGCCCTCACATAAGCTTCAATTAAAATTAGGCGTCCCAGTCATGCTAATGCGAAATTTAGATGCTCCTCGGTTATGTAACGGGATAAGGCTGCGTGTGACACATCTTCGACGCAACATAATCGGTGCTACAATTTTGACAGGCGTAGGAAAAGGTGAAAATATTATTATACCACGGATCCCTATAATTCCCACAGATCTTCCTTTTCAATTCAAAAGGTTGCAGTTCCCTATTAAGCTCAGTTTTGCAATGACAATTAATAAAGCACAAGGGCAAACGTTACAGGTAGCGGGGGTCAACTTAGAAAAACCGTGTTTGGTCAGCTGTATGTAGCATGTTCGCGTATGTCAAATGCCCAGAATCTCCACATTCTTTCCTCGAATGGAAAAACATATAAGATTTTGTACAGTAGCATCTTAAAATAGTGTTCAGTTAGTTTTTTTTTCCAAAATTCCCACAATCAATTAATCAGAATTCCCCCAGATATTCCCTTTCAATTCAAAATTTCCTATTTAGCTCAGTTTTTTTTCAATTCCAAATGCTGCACCTCTGACAGACCTATTAAGCTCAGATTCCATTCAGCTCAAAATCTCTGACGGATTTTTTATTTGGCTCAGTTTCCTTTCAATTCAGAAAACTGCATCTCTGACGAATCAATTTAGCTCAGTTTCTTTTTTTTTAAAGTCTGCATCCCTGACGGATAATTATGCTCAGTTTCCTTTAATTAAAAAAAATATCCCATTTCCATTTGGAATAAACAGGCTATTTTTATGCTTTCCTATACGCTGCGTTTCAAAAAATTTAAATAGGCTGACGAATCAATTTTGCTCAGTTTCCTTTTAATGGCTGCATCTCTGACAAATCTATAAAACTCAGTTTTCTTTCAACTCAAAAAGCAATGGATAGTTCATTTCCCAGCGACCATGCGGGCGAAGCCGCGGGTAACAGCTAGTATTCTATGAAAAATGGGTGTCCGGCTTTACGCCTCTGTACTTATATTTTTGTGCGCCCGATATCCAATACGAGAATTCTTTGTGCTTGAGTTTTGCATAAATTTTATAAATAATAGATAAAAATGAGGACAATTATTTGCCTATTCTTTATATATTCTCACTAAATAGTATTTTGGGCGGATAAAAAGCGTCTGACCATCACCCCTATTCCTCCTTGGATATGCCAATAACCCTGTATTCTTTATTTCAGTATTTTTATTTCCTTGATACTTAACATTTGTCAAGTAGATTGGCGATCGCAGTGTCAGACACCTTTTACACTTACCATCTTCGATCGCAACATTTCTCATCTAATAGTCTATTGGAGGTCACAAAATCTTTCGATATTTCTCTGTCATCCTACAACATCGTCACAAAATCTTTCGATATTTCTCTGCCTTCCTACAACATCGACGGGAGGAAATTATTATGATATGTCGCCACCGCAAGGTAAACGATATCCATTATGTCGTTGTTTAATTTCAACAAATTTTTTGAACGTGAGACATTTAATAACAGGTAACCTGTAATTCGGTGTTTTGATCAATTACCTAGGTACTGCTATTGATCGGGGCAATACCTTTCTACTTTTGTTTCGCTGAAAGTCTTCCGTGTAAAAGCATATAATATGTTCTAAGACAAACCATCGTGTATCACAATATCACTTGATATCATACTTTTAACATCTCAAGACACAATGGTTTTCAAAACTTTGGTAAGTTTCCTAAATGATATTTCATATGTAACGGACAATTTGGGATAAATTCAAATAAAAGTAGAAGCCTTATTTACTCGTATTTTCAGAAACTGCAATAATGGTATATCTTTATTTATTTATTTGATCATATGTTTAAAATTTGGCTACTCTTTGAAAAGTAACCCTGTATACGTTACATTTAACATGCATACAACTTACCGGGTCGTCACGATACTCATACACAATATAATTGAGAAGTTGCGTGAAAAACAATTTTATCAATTTCTAAAGTATTGTGTCAGAGGTTTGTTCGTTAATGCTTTTCATAATTTTAATACTGTTTTAATTTTTCTACTTTTAGAAATATCTGTAGTTTGCTTTATTCATTTCCAATCTTATTAACATAAAATATAACTAATACCTATTATAAAAAAAAAATATTAAACATTACGTTTTCTTAATAAATTAACTTCGGACCATGTAATTTGTCAAATATTCCACCTTGTTTCTATGTAGCGCTGTCCTGGTGGCAAAAAAGTGGATGCTCTCTTTGACGACGATATCTGATACTTTCATGCACGTCACATACATAAAACAGTCGAATTCTGAACCCCCTCCTTTTAGATGTCGACTAAAAATTATAAAAAGATTCTGTATGCACGTTTCAGTAATATACATACCATAGTATATAATTCAAATTACGTAGCTTACCTTTATTACCAACCCTGTTACAGGCACTTATTAAATTTAAGATGACATAGGTGCCAGATGGTTACTGGCTACACCTGGTTACTGCGGCGAGAGTTATGTGTTCAAATACCAGACGAAGTTAATATTCGTAAAAACATTAATTAAGGGTTTTCGAATCTGATTTTGTGGTGATTCTTCTCGAGCTTTTTCCACTGTAGTAGTATAGGTAAGAGGATGGTATTGGTACATATCCAGACGGACATCCAGGAAGAAAAGAAGTTCTACCACCTAGTTAGGAGAATGAACATGTGTTTCTATATCTCCAGCGCTGTTGGTAGTTTCCGATGGTTACGACGTTGTCACCGAGCAGGATCATCAACATGAGGTCCCTATTAGCTGTTGGGACCCGTTATAAAAATAAGATTACTTGAGGCTCTAATGTAAAATCCATAAAAAATAATTGTCAAACTAGATTTAAATAATATTTGATTGGTTATTTATCATTTATTAATAATTAATATGTATTGTTTTTATAGATTTTGGCTATTCTGATGGCTGTAACTGCTAATAGTACCAAGCCGGATAAGAGAAGTGCGGTTCCCTGGGACCTAGTGGGTTCGTCTGGATGGAACACTGACGCGGACAGTGTTCCCGCCACGGTGGCTATAAATGGAAATGGTAAAGGTAATTATGTCTTTGTGCGTTGGATTTATACTCCAAATTTATCTCGCTTTGACTTTCTACTTAATTACTTTGTAACAAGATTTTGGTGACTGGCCAAAGTGGTGATATATTGTAGGTATACCCTTAACCAACGCACATGTGAAGATGTGTCCGCAATCTCTGCTTACCCCTCTCGGTGACAGGGTTACTGGAAAAACAATTTTTTTACTATTTTTTGACGTGTGCCTCCTGCAGACGGCTGGTCAACAGACACGAACAGCGACGTAGCAGGAGCGCTGGCAGCAGCAAAATCAGCTGCAGCAGCGGTGATGGCAGCTCAACAGCAAGTTGCAGCAGCAAAGCACGCCGCCCTCGAGCAGCAGAGCGTCGCCAGTGCTAAGGAGGCGGCGGCTGCCCACGCTGCGCATAAGAGGTATGATTTTGTTTTCATTTGACTGGCGAGACGAGTTTCGTATCGCGTGTGTCAAATTTTTATGAGCGAAACATAATTCTTGTCTTTCTTTTCTTTTTTTTTTACTTCAAATATTTATTTCATTATATATTATTCAGACATTATATTATATCATTCATTTGGATATTTATTTACGAAGTTTATAAGCATGTATATATATATATATATATATATATATATATATGTGTATGTATGTACTTGTACATATGTATATTTTAATGTATGTGTATGTATAATGCATTATTTATGTATAATGGTCGCTCATGCCAACAATTGTCCTTGGCACCCAGGGTTGACTGGCAGAGAATGCCACATGGCATTAAGTCCGCCCTATGTACCCTTTAGCTTAAGGTGTTACATGTAAGTTTTTTTAAATAAATAAATAATTTGTCAATTTGTAATTACGTTACGTCTATTTTATAAAATCTTAGAATATTATTAATCTGCGCTTGTTACAAAAACCTTTTGATTGTAAAATGGCTGTTTATATTATGCTTTTGTAATATTACTTGTTATTTTTTAATGAACCAATTGATTTTTCATAAAGTCTACATCTAAGAAACTATCTATTAAACAACTATTACAACTATATATAACAAAAAAAGGGTTCAATTAAATACTCTAGTAGCTTGCAATGTCATAAGGCCTGTTACACACTTTTAATATTTTCCACAGTGAGGAAGCAGCGAGAAGAGCTCGTGCTCAAGCTCTAGAAGCGGCTCAGGCTGCAGTTCATGCTCAGGCGCAGCTCGCAGCGGCTAAAGCTAGAGCAGCCGCAGCACAGAAGATTGCTGCAGCGAGAGAATCAGCCGCTGCGAAGGCGATTCAGAACGCCGCACATAGTCAGGCTGCTAGGCTGCAGAATGCCGGTATAACACACAGTATTTTTTTATTTATCATTAGTTAAACACAACAGTTCTTTGATCAATATATTACCAACTTCGTAATACAGATGTTCTTATATAAGGAAGGCACCTTCAAAGCATTTCCAAAGAGAATTTATCAATTCTATTTTATGGAGCATTACCTAAACGCTAACTTTGGCTGTTCGATTAAATAATCGCTTTGAGGTTTGATACTAACTTGTTTTAATCCATCCAGCCTATAAAAATACATTGATAAACGTAGGCCTCCCCTATAGTTGACAGGCACGCTTGGCGAGCGTGTCGTCAACAGCAGTTTTTATTACTATTTTGAGTAGTTTTCAGGACGAGCCTTTTACCTAATAATTTCTTATGTCGCCTCTTGCGAAAGCTACGGGACTACATGGGGTAGTGGATATTCTTATACCGCCACTACACGGTAATCCCTTCCTCCACTCCACGGTTTTTTTTTTATAGAATAGGCTGACAAACGAGCACACAGTCCACCTGATGGTAAGTGGTCGCTGCGGCCCATAGACATCTACATCTATCTTCCATTACAAATCAAAATGCAGATGCGTTGTCACCCGTGAGGACTGAGATGGAATGCCTCATTTCCAGTAAAAGGGTCTCCGGTTCTCTACATCACCTACGAAATACAGAGCATTAAGCTACTATTTCACGCTGGTATGAGAGCGTGGTCCTTCCCCGGTCGAGCCGACCCATTCGTGCTACAACTATACTACTAATATAACTGCAGCATGGCTCTACCACGTAAAAATACGGTAGTTTAATTAGCCCGGAATATAAATACTTGACAGAATTTGACTTTGGTTCCTAACTCGTTTAAAACATCGATTCACATAATATTATGTGCAAATAATTCTGCAGATATAGAATCGCTAAAGTGGTCGGTGCTGCAAAGCTCCGGCGCCGCGGGTGCTGCGGGCGCAGCACAGCACGCTGCAACCGCTGCGGCGGCAGCTCTGCGACCCGACGCGAGTGCAGGATGGCTGCCGGCAAGCAGGTGGCAACCGTATTCGTCCAGTGCTTGGATTTGGTGAACGAAACTACATTATTCTTCATGTTTGTTATATATTCTGACTAACGCAAAAATCGAAATAGCTTTGCCTTTTTATTTTGATTTTATAACCTAGATGCTTGAATTTTAAATAATTATAATATAAGAATCTTAAAATAAAACTTCATCTTTTTGAATGTACATTTTTAATTGCCAAATATCTACTAGTAGTCCCAGCAATATAAGGTTATAATTTAAAATGGTTATATCTTACAACTGGTTATATCTTAAACTTACACAATTGGCAAAGTAAGTATAATTTGCAAAATTACGTTTTTCTAACTGCATTCTCTATCTGTGGCGGCTTGGGATTATTTTTAAGTTATATGGTGGACTGTATTGAATTAATATCCCCTGAAACGTTCAGTTACCGCAATCACAAAATTACACCAAGAAAACAATAAAAACTACTCACGGTCTTACTAGCCAGCTTCCCAAGATCAGCAAAACGTTGACAGCTCCTGGTGGCTTCTTCTACACGGTAGAATACACTAGTAAGATGATTGTACACGGTACACTCTAGAGTAGTCCTTAATTTTGAGTTTTCGAAGAAATATGTTCACTCCACGTTAACACAAAGAGATGTAGGTTAATAATAATCTTCTTACGCGTCGTACCCTCCTTTTTATTCCTTTTTTGTCCGCACAGATTATAACAGCGCGTTATGCGTCACACGTTGCTATAGTTTATCACCGGCCCTCAGATCGTTGTAGATCATTGTGCCTTGGTATAAAATTTGCGAGTTGCGGTTTATTACTGAACACACCCCCCACCGAAACCATCTTGATGGTTTCTCCAAAAAATAAGATAAAATTATAACTTAATCTAACTTAATCTCTATCAAGATAACGCTGAGACACAGAATGGTCTCAACGAGAAGGTTATTAATACAAGTAAGCTAATTTGCGTAAGGAAGAGGACTCAGTTTATTAACTGGTCTCTGTAAAGTACTCTTTTGGGTACGAAGCGTTACACAACGAACAATCCCATCTGGGCCGGGGTGAAGAGCCTCTATTCTACCCAAAGGCCAATTGCACGGCGGTATGTTATCAGTTTTTATAATTACAAGATCACCTATTTTAATGTTAGATCTATCCGAATACCACTTTGCTTTCTGTTGTAGCGTATTTAAATATTCACGACTCCATCTACGCCAAAACATTTGTGAACATTTTTGAATATATTGCCAACGTGACAATCGATTCATCGTTATGTCTTCTACATTATACTCAGGTACCGCCGTTAACGCTTTTCCTATTAGAAAGTGTCCCGCTGTCAGTACGTTAAATTCATCCGGGTTATCACTAGCTGGTAACGGGCAGAGCGGTCGCGAGTTGAGAATTGCTTCTACTTTACAAAACACTGTGGTGAGTTCCTCGAACGTCAAACCTTTTTCTCCGACGGCTCGCGCTAAGAGGTACTTGGCGGATTTAATTCCGGCTTCCCAGAGCCCACCCATATGTGGTGCGCTGGGGGGATTAAATTTCCATATAATTTGTCGCTTTGAGCAACCCTCTAATATATTACTTTTTTGCTCGAACATAAACCTTTGTATTTCGGTTAAATGCTTACTAGCCGCGATAAAATTAGTACCGCAATCCGAGTAAAGAAAAGAACACACACCTCGTCGCGCTACAAATCTGTCTAAACACGCGAGGAAACACTCCGATGACAACGACGATAAGACCTCGAGGTGTACAGCTTTTGTCGAGTAACAAATAAATAATGCTAAATATGACCGTTCAATCCCAGCGTTTCGTCGTAAACTTTCTTTTGTAAAGAACGGACCACCGAGGTCTACCCCTACATGCTCAAAAACTTTATTAGGTATCAATCGAGGTGCTGGCAGAGGTGCCATCTCAGGCTGCAAGAGTACGGGATTGTGTTTAAAACAAGTTTTGCATTTGGACAAAACTGACCGAATAATGCGACGGGATGCTAAAATCCAAAAGTTTTGATTAATAATGTTTTGTAAGGTGCGTGGGCCTACGTGTAAATATTTTTTATGTAAATATTCAATAAGTAATTGTGTAAATCTACTATTTTTAGGTAATAAACGGGGATGTTTCGCGTTATAAGGTAAAACTGAATAATTTATTCGACCCCCCCACCCTGAGGTATCCGCGATCGTCAATAAACGGAGATAATTTTCTCAACGACGGAATGTACTTTGTGCCCTTTGACAAATTATTTATTTCATTTGCAAAGTATGAACGCTGTACTAGTTTAATTAAGACGTCTTGAGCGGTATTCAATTCGTCAGTCGTCAGTATGGATTGCTTAGAGTGACCGGATTTAAATCGGAACCATCTCAATATTCGAGCAAACGTACGTTGCAGTTTATAATAAGAAGAGAAATGGGAAAAAATTCGGTCACAGAACTCTAACTTAGATTCCTCTATTAAATTATTTTCATTAGTGATTAAATTGACGGAACCTAATGAATAATTTGATTTTATTTCAGGTGTATTACTTTCATCTTGGTTGATAAATGTTCTAATTGGCCACTGCGAGTAGTCATCATACAACCAAGATGGGCCATTTAGCCACTGCTCTTTGCATTCCAAGAGCTGTGACGGAGACGCTCCGCGCGAGCAGATGTCTGCCATATTGCACTCACTACTAACGTGACGCCAAAAGTGCGGAGGTAACACTTCGCATACCTGAGTAACACGGTTACTAACAAACGGCTTTAATTTGTAAGCTTCTGTTTGAAGCCACGCCAATACGATAGTCGAATCGGTTAACGCAGTGATACGATTAATTTTTACACGAGTTAAAATGTCACGGACATATTTAATTAATCTGCTTAACAAAACTGACGCCATCAATTCCAACCTCGGGATAGTTAAGGGTTTGACGGGGGCTACTTTAGATTTTGCTATCACCAAGCGTACTTTAGTCTGACCTCTCTCATTACGACTGATCACATATACACAACTAGCGTAACCGCGAGAACTTGCATCGCAAAAGGCGACTAGTTCACATTCAGACTGTTCTGGTAACAGCATGTGTCTATCTATCTTAATTTCCGTCAGTCGCGGGAGATCATCAACGTAATTAAGCCAGCGCTTAGTTACGTCAGTTGGCAGTTGCTCATCCCATCCTATGCCCAGCTTCCATAAATCTTGCATTATTTCTTTCGCGATGAAAATGCACGGCGAAATAAAACCTACGGGGTCGTAAATAGAAGCTAATAATTTCAAAACAGAACGTTTAGTTGTTACTTTGTCAGTCTTATCTACTGCGAAATAAAAACAGTCAGTCAAAGGGAACCACTTCAGACCTAGCACTTTGACTGAATATTCGTTACCATCTTTCAGGAATGTTACAGGACACTCTCGGTTTTCTAACGGAACGCGTTCTAAGACCTTTCCGCTATTACTCGCCCATCTCTTAAGTATAAAGCCGCCGGAATTAAACATCGCTATAAGTTCATCTTGTAACTGAGATATCTGTGACAAGGAACTACAAGAATATAGGATATCATCCATGTACACGCCCTCGCGCACAACCGTTGCAGCGAGCGGATAGTGTTCTCCCTGATCATGGGCTAATTGCAAAAGTGTGCGGATAGCTAAAAACGGCGAGCAACTTAAGCCGTAAGTGACTGTCTTTAATTCATATACGTTGATGGTATCATTAGGCGAATGACGATATAAAATATGTTGATAACATCTATCCGACGGATTCAGTTTGATTGCACGATACATTTTGCATACGTCGCAAATCAAACAATATTCAAACAACCTAAAATTCAATATTATAGCCCCAATATCTCGATACAGATTAGGCCCGGTTAGTAGAATATCATTAAGCGAAACATTCGTGGACGTTTTTGCCGAGGCATCGAACACCACTCGCACAGGAGTGCTGGAACTACTGGGCTTAAGTACACTATGATGTGGTATCACATATTTACTCGGAGTGTCACCCGTATAAAGCTCCATATGCCCTAGATGTTCATATTCGCACATGAACTCTGAATAGGCTTGCCGTAATAAAGGTAAACGATTCAACTTGCGCTCTGTGAACAAGAGTCGTCGCTCGGCTGCAGCCCTTGAAGCGCCCAACGGAGGCGGGTCTGGTATGAATGGTAACGGCACTGAATAGCTACCGTCCTCAGCGCGGCTAGAACGAGCCACGAAAATATCTTCTGCTAATTGTTCTAAAGGATTTATCGAAGGCTTGCTGGACAATTCTTCGACTTCCCAAAACTTACGCAACGTTTGATCTAAAGACTCTTGTTCATCAAACGAGACTGATAAATTATAGTTTCTTAAATTGTCCTTTTCATTGTAATAAAGTTTACCACTTACAACAAACCCGAAAGCGGTATCGATCACGCTTGGTATATCCGATGAAATAATATAAGGTTTATCATAAATAAGTTCTGAAACTATATCATTGCCCAACAATATATCAATACGTGAGCGCTTATAAAACATCGGATCAGCTAAATTAAAATTCTTATATTTATTAATAACGTCCGAGGGGAATCGAACGTTAGGCATATCGGCAGATACCTTAGTCACTATGACCATGTTCACTCTAAAACTAGGCAAGTCAGTGTGTAGGGACCTTAATGTGCATGAAATCATTCCATGATTTTTTACTGCCTCTCCACCAAGGCCATAAATGTTAAACGAACATTTTTTCCGAGGTAAGCCCAAACGTTGAGCGCACTCAGTTGTAATAAATGAGCTCTGAGCTCCAGAGTCAATAACTGCACGGCAGTATTGATACTGACCGCTACTATCATTTGCTAATACACGCGCCGTTCCTAATACGACACCGTAATTCGAGTGAACGTCGTTGTAATGAAGCGTATCTATCGTATAATGCTCCGAGTCGCTCGTAGTCTGAGAAGAAACGAGTGCTTGTTGCGCTTGCGAATCAGCGCTCATTAAACTAGTGGATGTTGGCAAGGCCGCGTCGCGCACAGGCTCCCTATGCAATAGATAATGATGTGATGACGCACAT